TTAGGTTGTATTACTTGGACCAAGATTACTGAATTTATTAAAATTGAACATGAAATAAGCACTAATAAGAATATAAGAGAACAAGTCACAACCTGAAAGAATGGAGGATAAAATAAAAGATAGGAATAAAGAATTGTTTACCAAAGGAAGGCTAAGAGTAAGACAATTTCCACATTGTATCTAAATTCTAAGGTAGTGCACAGCAGGAATGAACTATATTTCTCTACTAGAATACAAACAAGGTTTATTGTTAGGGAATAGCCTTTGTACAAAACTCTGGACTAACACATTATAAATTCTTACTCCCATGCCTAAAATTAAGCATGTGTGTCACTGAATGTTGGGTTGACATCATGGACATCCACTAACTAGATGCACACAGCAGGCATCTGAAGGTAGAACAAACTTTAGAGTGCCTGGCTAAGCTTCCTTATTTTACAAATATGGACACCAAGTCCAAAAGAAAATATAAAACATCTGCCCCAGGTTTTCATGGGAAGTTATGACAGAGCTGGGAGTGAACTCAACACTTCCTGACTCTTTGTCCGGTGCTCTTTACAAAGCCAACAGGAGTTTGAGGCAGTCATCTGTGGGATCTCCCACATCAGTCAGTTCTACCTTCTGGACCCACAGGAAAACAGTGACTCACAAAATCTGATAGTCTTTTGGAATATATGAGAAGTGTGCTTTTCTTCTGTGCTATAAAGCATTTTCAATTTTTTAAAATAAATCCCCTATTTTAAATGTCTTATGAGAGTTGGCAATTTAAGGAACTTACAGGTCAGGTCTATATTTGATGATGTTTAGCACAGTCTTATGCTGACTGACTGATGGGATATTTGATAGACAAAAACCAAATTTCTGTGCACTGTATTTCAAATTGTCAGATTTACTTCAAGTGAGCACACCTATCATAAATCCTGCTTAGACCAAAAGCCAATTTCATTTATATTTTGAAGTACTTAGGAATAACAGTAAGAATCAGAGCTTGAAATTTGCAAGGGCAAATTCATAACTGAAAGCTATTTGAGGAACAGATGTAAATGTATTCTACTATTTCCCAACTTAGAAATCTTTGAAACCTTAAGAATTTCATGCATGCTGTCTGAGGGTAAGCTTAAAGCTACAAGTGAAGAAGAGAAGAGACTGGGCTCTCTGATACATAGTGTAGACACCACTTTCACATTAATCTCCCTGGCATTCTGGTCATACCCTTGGGGAGTTCTGCCTTCCTATATCCTCCTTACAACTACACAGAGCACTGTAGGAAAATGGGGTTAGAGTTGCCACTGTTCATGCTTCCTTGCTCAGGCCCCCAAGTCTGCAGAACACAGACACTTTGTCTTCTCTATTTCTAAGTAGACTAATGTCTTGGGTATACAAGCAAGCATTAATCTGCAAAATTATGATAAAGACCCTACATTCAAAGCAAAGTGAAATTTTGGAAATATGTCATTTTCATCTTGTCATTCTACTACTCTAGTCTTCCATGACTCTTTATGGTCTAGAATATAATTTGGACCACAGAGGTGACATTTAAGACCTTCCACAGACTGATCTCACCTCTCCTTTCCTATTTCTTAACATCATGGTTCTATTTCATGGTTCCTTATCTTCAGTCATGCTGACCAACGTGGCATCTTCTGAATATTCCTATGCCTTCTCTGGATGTTTACATTCCCTCTCTTGCCTGGAATGAACCACTGTTGATCACCCATCTGTCCAAATGCTACTTTCCATGGCTCAGCTCAAATGTCACTTCCTCCTTAAAGTCTCTGCTCAACTACCAGCATTGCATGCTTTTTTTCTCCATGAGAACAGATTTACACTGTTTTCCTCTACTTTAGATACTTCACAGTGTCTGGTATTCGTTCTTAATAAAATATGTGCTAACTGATTAATTCTAAATAAGCCCAATCCCCTGCAAAAGGTTTACATTTCCAACAGGCTTGAAAATAAGATAGTCATCTGTATCTTTTATTATATCCACATGATGGAAACTTCAGCTCATTTAGTATGTTGTCATTGGATTCCTTTCTTTCCACCAAACTAAGTCATTTCAACCCTCAGTCACCTTTAAAGAGATTCTAGGAAGGCACACTCAGATTCAGAGATTGCATTCCTGGATCCTCAGCTTGTTGTCCAGATCTGCTACTGAATCAGATTCAGACAAGTGTGAACTGGAGAAACGAACTAATCATTAGCACCATCCAAACAAAATGAAAGGAGTACTTTTGTTATGTTGGCTGTATATTCAGGTTTGAAATAGGAAGCAGAGGAGCAAAAAAAGAGAGAAGGAAAACAGCCTACAGCTGTCAATTGTCTTCTCTTTGAATGAGATTTACTTGCCTTTTCTTCTATTTTTCGCAACTATGGGATGAACTAGAACGTTTAAGAGGTTTTAAATCAGGATGGAAAAGATTATTTGTTATAATCCAATGGAGATATTTGCTACAACCTCCCCCAAAACCAGGTCCTGTTTTGTTTGCTCAGAACATATTTGTTTGCTAAATTAAAACTGGTACTCTACCTATAAAAATCACATTTGATTTCAGGGTTTGGTCCCAGAATAGATAATGTAGTCCTGTCCCAGTCTAGTAGCAAAGGTTATTCATTTCATAGACTTCACTTAATGGATTTGGCTACATCCTCAGAAAACATACTATTTGAGGAGGAAAACTGAGTCATGGAGGTTAAGGAGGGAGTAAAATCAAATAGCAAATGCATAAAAAAGTTCAGCTAAAAGCTTTAGCATCCTAATTATTCATTAATTCTTTTATTCATTTAGTAAATGAGCAGCTACTGGTCATTCTCTATGTGCTAGTGCTCACTAGAACAATTTATTCAATTACTCAGATTGCACATATGTTCCTCTAGCTAACAAAACACTAGTTATAACTTGCTGCAGTCAAAAAACTTACTGAATATAAGTTAAATAGGGGACACAGAAACAAAAAATGCACAAATATTAAGACAAGCAACGTCACAAAGCATTATGAGTAAATTTGAATAACTCAAATTTGTGTTATAACAACAGCTTTTCATTTCATGTGTCATTGATCATCCTTCATATCCCCATTACATCGGACTCTACTTTGTTGATTTTCAGGTGTATCCAATTGAGAACAGCTTTCGTTACAAAGGAATCCATTGAGGCTTTGGGCTCTAAAAGCAGACAGATGGGAATATCTCTGTAAAAAACTAAGTCCAGTATAAACTGAGCACATATGGTGGCAAGCATAATTATTACCCAAATGTCACTGTTGGGTATTTTCTTAACAGATTCTTTTAAAACCCTCTTTTTATAGCTGCAGACCTTTTCTAGACCAGTGGTTCTTAAGGAGAGTAGGGGATTTTGCCCCACAGGGATATTTGACTAAGTCAGGAAACATTTTTTTATATTCACGCCAGAAGCGGGGGGCAGGGTGAGTAGTGCTACTGGCATCTGGTGGACAGAGGCCAGGGATGTTGCTCAGCATTCTAGAATACACAGGAGGAAATCCTTGCAACAAAGAATTGTCTGGCCCAAAATGAACTTAAGAATCTCTGCTCTTAACTGTCTTCTTTCATTCTCTTGGACCTGGTACCGCCCAAAGATATCAGAACTACCAGAGACCGAACTAGGAGCTCTGTATGAGCAGCCTGGTACACTGAAGAGTGCAGGTTTGCAAACTCAGCAGCTGTGCCTGTTGTTAACTGGAGCTAGTCGCTTACCCTCCTTTGTGATCACTTTCATTAAAAACAAAACAAAATATTGCACAATATGGGTTATACCTACCTTACAAGTTTGTGGTGAACACTAATCAAAAATATGTGTATACATGCATTCATTAAAAGTTACCCTGTATTCCTCCCAGCCTGCCCATTCTTTCCACCTCTCGGTACACCCACCCCTGAGTTTCAAGTTCTCGCTTTTAAAATGCTTTGATTCCTTTGGTGGCAAAAATCAAGCTTGGGCTGGGAAGTGAGTCACCACTCAGCAGCGAAAGGAGCTTGTTTTTCTTTCTCTGAGTGCATTCTTAATAATTTCAGCCTGACCCTTCAGCACTTGTTGGTTGGATCCTCTCTTGATGTTTAAGGCACACGGAGAAAGAGCTGTGGCACCAAGACTTTTCCAATTGTTAGGAAGGAGAGTTCTTTAAATACCGAAAATAACCAGAGGGCAGAGAGTTCTGAACGCCTATGTTACATAAGCAGATGCTGGAGGGAGGAACGGTGCGGGTGTTGTGGTTCCTGTCTCCAGGAGCCACTCCCGCTGATGTACCTTAGCAGGGCACAAGTCTCCAGGAAGGGCCCCGAAGTGCACAACACGGCTACGCAAAGAGAACTTTCCTGTCAAATAAGCACCGCCTGGAGCGGTGAGCGACGGGGCGGGATTTAGCAGCCCTGGGCAGAGCGCAGGCTGCGGGAGAGAGCGGGGGCCCGCGCCGTTGCCAGGTCCCGGCGCGCAGCACACTGGTTGTGCCACTCGGATGCCCGGCTTCCTCTTCTTTGCTTCCCTGGGTGAGCCCTTCAGCTCTCCCGAACCGTTATTTAGCTTCTCCAATGTTCAGAAAACAGTTTAGCTATAACAGTCACCCACAACTCCCCCCCAAAAAAACAATGTCATAAAAACCGGGAAATCATTCTTTTCTTCCAGATCCTGTGCCTCTGTGTCTGTCTCTCCCTCCTTATTCTATCACGTCCATATTTTTTTCTCCCCCTCTGCCCTCTCCCTTCATTTCCTCCCCAACCTTTCCCCATCTGTGGTGTGGAACCCTTTCTCCCTCCCCGGTTTCCACTCCTCCCTCCACTGCCTCCCCACCGCCCCCCGCCACACACACATCCCTGCTCTCCTCCCTCCTGCAGTCTGCCGGCTCTGCCCTCTCCGCCCCTCCCCAGAGAAGTGTCCAGCTCCTCCTGGGGCTGCCCGCACACCGCCCGGCCGCTCCTTCCCTGCCCACCTACTATGAGGAGCGGCTCCTCCCACCTGCGCATAAAAGCCAACTGCATGTTACCAGCAGCGGATCAGAGCCCTTCCCTGGTCCTCTCCGTGGGAGCCCGCGAGCCGTCTCCCTGATCTTACGTGCTCAAGGTAAGGTAACACTTGTGCAGGCAGTTGGCCTACTGTGGGTTGCTGCAGGGGATAAGGCGCGTCTGGTCAACGACCTTGCTGTTAGAGTGGATTCTTATAGATGTATAAGATGCCCTAACAGCTGCTAGTTCCGTAAGTAGCAACCGGCTTGAAAATAACCTTCTGTTTGAATAGTAAAATTAAAACTCCTTTTTTGGCAGCAACGACAGCATAAATATTACAAAAACCTTTTCTCTTTTTAAATCACTTTTCTTTCCTCCTTTTTCTGACTATTGCTGAGGTTAAAATGTATCTCTTTAGAGTATTATACTGACGTTTTTCATTGTAAATACTTCATTTATCAGTAGGGGCAAAGAAAACTTTGTCCCATTGTCAAAAAATGTACTTTAAAAGAACACAATTAGCTTCCTAAAAATAGCAGAGTCAAAAGATCTGCTAATAGTTTTGTAGTGTTTTCCAAACCCCCATAACAGCTTCTGTGAGTCCTTTAAAAAATATCTTTCCAGGTTTAAGCACTTGGAAAAAATGATGTGAACGGGTGCCCTTTGCACAGGGACAGTAGTCAAGTGGCTGGTAGATAGGAAAGAACAAATCCAAATTTACAAGCTGCAGCAGGATGAGCTCTTACAAAGCTATCTTTTCACAATGTTCTAAAGTGAGAATTGTGTTGGGGCAAAGAAAGTGTATAAAATAACTTCATGAACTTTTACACACCACACACCTAAACATAAAGCATTTCAATATGTTTCATAGTAACAGAAAAACACAATACTTTTGTGTACGCCAGACTGTCATCAGCTAGAAGGGATTCTTTTGAAGTTTTAATCCTCCTAGCTATCCCCTGTTAGTTCATGTAACAAATGACTATCTAGCTTAGTTCTCCCAGAGCTGCCCAGTGGTTAAGCTACCTTTTTGGGGAAAAAAAAAAAAAACTGTTCTTCTTCCTGAGGTAGAACTAGTATTGTGCACCTGCAAGAGGAAAAACATATTCCACCACTACTTCTGTAAAACCAGACTCTTGGTCCATGAAGTTTGCCATCAAAATCTGTGGGTTGTGTGGGATGAAACTCTGTCATGTGGGAGAAAAACCCTCTTCAAATATTTCTTTTGGGGAATTGCATAAGACCGCTTTGAGGAGGCAAACTGAAGCTGCCATTCAGGAAACCAAACCACTGTTTTAGCCCTTAAGGTTCTTAAAGGAAGGAAAACCGCTCACTTTTTCTTTTATGTTTGTTGGTTTTATATTGTTTTACATGGGAAGGGAAAAAATCACTGAAGGTGTGAAAAATTCTCCCCTATTAAAGAAATTAGAATAATTAGAAATTTAACTAAAAGTCCTTCAAACTATTTCACCTATCAAAAGAAATAGTGAAGGTAATTAAAAATTCTGTTTAGAATAGAAGAGATACAATACTATTATTGAAATGAAAGAATTATATGTAAAGCATTCTGTCTTGTTAAATTTTTTTCCATTGGAAAACATTATTACAAGGAGTGTGGTTTCCTTTAAGAAAATGATATGAAATTACTATTGGCCAAGAAAATATGTGACCTGCACATGTTAAAATACCTTTTATCTTGAGCCACAGTACAGACTGCTTGCTTCACATCTGATGGAAGTGGGTAATCAACCATGACAAGAACACAGGTATGGGACAAGGCCAAACCATGTGTATGGTACGTCCAAGTTAATTCTTTCTTTATGGTAGTGCCTGATTCCTTCCTATCATCACAAGGGTGAAAATACACTGCTTCATTCACAAGATCTCCATGAGGGGGAAATGCTCCCAGTGCAAAAGAGCTCCATTATTCCTAAATTTGGGGAGGAAAAGTGTTCTCTGAGGGTTTGCTTCTGCTTTTCCTAGCAGTTTTATAACCTGACCAGCTATGAAGAGTTGAGCAGTAACTGCCTTCCCTATGCGCTATGAGGCTCAACTTCCTAAACAACTGGATGAGATCATCTTAGATTGCTCATGACCTAACCTTCCCAGGGGGCATTACCAATCAAAGCGATTCTTTCTACGGACTATATATCAGGCAAGATGGTGGTTCCCTTCTTAAGTTTTTAGAATAATCAGTGGTGAGGTTTGATGTAGTTACCCAATATTGTTCCTTCTGTACAGAATGTTAGTATAGCCTAAGTCTCCTCTTTTTCCATTATATGATCCTGAATCAGATTCATGGCATACTATCAACACCATTGCAATAGGCTTTGAATAACTTCTTAATGTTTCTCAAAAAGGAAATGGTGAGTGGTTGCCTCTTTCACTAGACACATGGGGAGGGTGGTGCCCTGTTGATTTTGAGGACCTGCCTAGAGAACACTTTCCAGATTTTTTACCACTGTTAAAATTACAAAATGGTATATTCTCCATGATCAGAAAGCATATCCTATTTTATTTCCATTTGCAAAAAAGAAGTCAAGGATGGGAGGATGAGAATGAAAAAGGAATTGAGAAGGAAGTTGAGGGGAATCACAGAAGTGCCCTAGGAGAAGAGAAAGATCAAGGTCTCTGTTATAAAATATGACCTCTTGCTTTCTCATTTCTGTGGAGTCTGAGGTGCTAGAAAAGAGCAAAACTCCACACTTGCTCTTGTTTTTTTTTTTATTTATTTGTCTTTGTTTTCTAATTAATGAGAGTATTGTCACTAGTAAATTAAGAACCACCTCTGCTGTCTTCATTAGTTCTCCTTTTCTAACAGAAAAGAACAGCTGATTCCTAAAGACCAAAATGACTTCAGGTCTGCCCCACATTAAAACCCACAGGAATCTGTCAGTTATAATTTTAAAAGCTATATTATAGATGTGCCCCCCCCAAAAAAAGCATATTTTTAACTAACAGATAAGTCACATCAACAAAACCAAACCTAACACTCCTGATGGGTACAATGTTGGGTGAGTATTTTAAAACTTAGAAGCAGAAATTTCTTCCTTCTCCTCCATGGTCACCCACCCTGGGATTGCAATTTGCAGAGTAATTAAGACAAAACTATGATTTTCAATTTCTGCATCTCCTACTACCCTCCTGAGAAACAGGTCTCTCTTCATGCCTCCACTTTCTTCTCTTCAACCAGTCCCTGTCCTCCCCCACCCCCTGCATACACACACCACAACGTACATGGGCATAATTTAAAGAATTTAAGGATCTTGAGATTTGAGAGCAGTCTTGTGAGTGAGAGATCCACTGTTCTAACTACTGAGAACAAAAGAAGAGGAAAGGAAGATGTTAAGGGACAATGAATAATGCCTCTTGGAATTTAGAGAATCTTTCTCTTAGTGTTATTTGAAAAGGATCTCTCACTACCTAAAAGATCTAGAAATTAAAATGAAAGAAAAGACCTGATCACAAGTTGTACTTGTGTATGAAAATGGAAAAATGAGACCCATTGAAACTATCCTGAGAAGGGGGATAAAGGAAAATGATGAAGGGAGTGAATTTAGCTAAGATATACTGTAAGTACTTTTGTAAATGTGACAATGCACCCCCAGTGCAACAATAATATGATAATAAAAATAATTTTTTTAATGTTGTTACAAAATGCTAAGGATATATTGAAAAAGATCTTCCAGTCATTAATAGCAGCCCATAGTACTAAATTATAGTATTGCTAAACTCCCCCTTTTCTAGAGAGATGAGATGTAGAGTGGGAGAGAATTAATCACATTTCAACACCAAGAGAGAGAAACTGCTAGTTCAGAGATTTCAGAATGGCTTCAGTAACTGCTGTTTGAGGAAGGAAGTTCCTTGCAGTCTTTCCTCAAGCAAGTAGATTTGTAGAAAGAAATTGAAAGGAGTCAAAGGAGGTTGGAATGTCTACAATCAGGAAGACTTGTGTACTCAAATCCAGGAAGCCAATGAAATTGCATCATATTAAATTGAAGTGAATAAAACAAAAATGTTCCCCAAAACTAATCATAAAATCAACTAAAATAACAATGAATTCTAATTTCTCAATGTTGCATAAGAGCAAAAGCAAAAAACTGAAGTTGATTGAGAAAGTACTGAAATACTTCGATGATTCACCTTGAGTGTCTTATAGTTATTTGGTACTCACTTCCATTGTCCTTCCTATAAAAGTAAAACTGGCCCTTGTCTCCTGCACAACCTTTTCAGTCTCTGCCACTGCCTTTGGTTTTTTTCCAGTAGAAGAAATCTCTTCCATTCTTGTAGATCAAGTTTTTGGAGGAGCACTCATACTTGTGGCTTTTCTCACTACCAGAAATCTCCTCATACTTCTCACAAATAGGATATAAATTTTCACCCCATCAAATTAAAAAGTTTCACATTTTTCTAAACCCTAATTCAAATGTCTAGAAGAAAGGCATTTAAAATTTTTCCTTCCTCTGGTAAATTCTCTGAGATGAGGTTTCTAAGCATTTTTTATTTAGCCAGTATCTGTTCTAACTTCCTGAGGATTAAGAAGAACTTTAAAAATCCAAAATATAAATGCTGGGAGGGATTGTGAATCTAATTTTAAATAAAAGTTCATTTTACAGACATAAAAATTCAGAAAGGTTGATATCTTTTCCAAGGTTACCCAAGTGGGTGTAGTGCATCCAAGACTGGGTAGCCAAAGTCTTCAGTCAGTACTTGATCTTGAGTAACTGTGATGTGTCTCTGCACCCAAAGTGAATTTAAGGTGTCTCAGGCATTGCTGAACATTCTGTAGGAACTTTACATGTAGGGGTTCTCAGAAACCATGGTTGGGTAGAGATTTGGGTTTCAACTATAGCTCTATGACAGAATGTCTAAGAAGCATTTAATCAAGTACTTGTGAAGAATAAAATCACTAATCATGACCATCACAAAAACCTTGCATGTTTTTCACCATCCAAGCACCTGATACAAAATAGGTGCTGGGTAAATCTGGGTTGAGTGGAAAAGAAAAAAATTTTTTTAATTGCCAAGTATAAACTACCCATTTTTCTTAACTCCTTTCATAAAAGTTCCTATAAGAAGTCTTTCAGGGACATTGAGGTACTCAAATCTCAAGCATAT